AAGATATTCAATTTACAAAGATAAAAGCAGACAAAGGTTGCAAATCTTCACATTTGAGAAGCTAGAAATTGGGGACATTTGGAGAAATGAAAAATTACCTTTCTATTGACTGTCTAATCATTTTGGCTCAAAGAACAAATAAAAACCATACTCAAGGTAATACAAAACTATTGTCTTTATTATTATATTTATCTAATAAAAACATTGTAATGATGACACATCTGTGAGGTAAAAAAATACTTTTGAACTAGAGGTTTCACTGATGAGTCAGGGAAAAAAAACTTGTGGTCCATACAGTAAACACATCACTTCGCCTTGTCAACCCACGCAAAGTAATTACAGCGAGCTTCAGGGTTGGAGGCATGTCCCTGAGGACGGGCACACACAAAGAACTGTTTGCCCATGTTTGGCCCCTCCTTTTTTACAGTACGAAGCACACAGGGTTCCCCGTGGACCTTACAGGAGGGTGGTGGGGGTGGCCCATGAAGCACTGACTTCCAAAACACTAACGATGCCCCCTTCTTTGCAGCTGAGTGTCCCACGTTGGGCTGTGGGGTTAACTGTTTTGTCTTCATCTGTTTGTCATTTTCCTCTGTGGTGCTGCTGGTGCACAGCTGTGGTGAACAGTCCAAGACAAGCTCAGTATTTTCAGAGACACTGCTCGTCACCGAGGACATGTCCTCTCTAGTTGTGGATGCTTTTTGGGAGGTTTGTGATGAGGTAACTTCATCCAGGAGGGTTTTTTCACACTGCCTGATAGGGGCTTCAGAAGTAGGAACAACATTTGTGGGTTTGGGTTTGAAAAAGGAAAGGAGGCTGCCCTGTGGCTTTGAAGAAGTCTTTGCTGTCTTAGTCTTTTTCCCCTTTGGGGCAACTGAGTCTGATGTCAATAACCGTTTCTTACAAGAGATGTTTCCAGCTCCAAGTGGGTTTAAATTCTCCCTCCTTTCCTCCTCTTCTTGAGATCCGGGTAATGCATTCCCCTGCTCAGACTGACTTGATTTTTGGTCCACCTTGACAAGGAAGCGGGAGAGTTTCTGCTGCTTGCCAGCAAACTCTGGCAGGTAGCGGGTACAAAGCGGAGGAGGCTTGGAGCTGGGCAGGAGAGAGCAGCTCAGTTGCCCTGACACTGGGCAGTGGTCGGACCCCTCCACCTCTGGCATGATGTCCGCTGCCACAAACTGCTCCTCGGCTAGTTGGCAGTCAGCGAATATGTAGTCAATGCGTGTGCCGTAGTTGGTCTGCCGCGCTCCAGTGAGAGTGGACCAGCATGTGAAGGCGTTGGTGCGGGTTGGGTGGAAATAGCGAAAGGTATCCACGAATTTCCCGCTGTGGATGGGATCTGTTGAAGTTACCTCTGATTCTTCATTAAGTTCCTCCTCATTATTTTCCTCTTCTTCTCTGACATGATGCAAAAAGCCATTCAGCCATTTCCTTCCGGGGTTTTCATCGAAATCATCCTGAGTAATGAGGAAAAACATAGTAGGCAGAGTTTCATCATTATGAATATACATTCACTGTGCACATTTGGCAGCAAAAATAACATTTGTATTATATATATATATTATATTTGGTTTGAACATCATAGGTAGCATTTGGGATAATGAAGTACAAAGCACACAAAGCACACAACTAAATAAAATATACATAAGTCTAGTTGTTTTTATTCATTTTAATGTGGTCATATTACATATTAAACTTTTAATCAATGAGCCTTAAAGGTGCTGGTTGGTGGATTTTGTTGACAGAGCCGTGCTGGCTTTGATGCTAAGCTAACCGGCTGCTGGCTCATATTTGCCATACAGACACAAGAGTGG